TAGGTATAGTTTTTAATAAAAGTATTATCAAATATCAGCTAGGAAAAAAAAAAAAAATGTATAATGTTTCAATTCGATAAAACAATTTTTGAGAGGAAACTGTGTATTATAGAAAAAAAAAAAGAAACTTAAATGATATAAAAATTCTTGAATACATAAATATTTGAATAAACAAACACAACGAGACGAGACTTGCCTGATCCAAAAGACAAAAGTCAAATTGATGATCATAGTTACGATGAGAGGATAATTGTCGAAGTAATAAAACCGTAATTTCATAATATAGTCAAAATCAATTTTAGAAAACCATATAAAATCGACCACGATTAAACCTAATATTATAAATATCGATAACACACTTATGATACATTGGTATCGTAATATTGATGAATACTTTTCCGACACGTTCATTTCTTTCATTACTCGTGTACAAGTTTCTAATTGTTTAACGAACAATTTCACTTGCTGTAAGGAAAAAAAAAAAGAAGAAACCAATGAACATTTCAAATTTATTCACTTTATTTGCGAATATTTTTCGTTAATTAATTATTTATAATTTTAATATATATTAGCATACTAATTTTGTTTTCTTGAGCATCTATTAATAATATTAATGATGCTATAATTAATTGAAAGAAAAAAAAAAATTGTTCAATCAATCAATTATTTACCTTTCTTCTCATCAAACCGACAAACATTTCTATGATATAAATAATATAATTATAAAAAAATTGAAATTTGGTCATTATTCCTGCTGTTTCGGTCATTTGCGAAATCGAAAATATATCCATTATATCTTTTAACTCAAGAAATGTAGTACTATAATAAATTGAACAAGCAATCGCGTAAATAATACCAATCGTTCTTATTAATTTATTTTCGAAATATTCCGATAAACCGGTACTAATTATCGAATTTATAATAATCAATGGCATAACCGAACGTTGAAATTCTTTAGATTGAAACATTTTTTTTGCCAAAAATTTAAAATTTTTTTTTTTCTGTTTGAAAATATATATATATATATTTATGTCACTTGTTTTTTCTTTTTCTTATAAAATACACGAATGAAAATTTCGGATAATTCTTTTCTTGATTTTTAAAGCGACTTCTTGTTGAAGTTTTCGAACGATACTAATTCATATTATCGCTATTTCTCTTCTTATTAAAGTTCTAAAGTTTATGCAGCAAATATTATTACGGCATACATACATCGATTTAGCTAGTGAAATAAAAATGATCATTTTTCTTTATTCCATTTTTTCCCACACACACACACACACACACATCACTTCTTCCATCATTGTAAATATCTTCGTCGTTCGTCCTTGTCTCGTCTTTTTTTTTTTCCTTTTTTTTTTTTCCTTTTTTTTTTTCTTTTTATGAAAGCCATAAATATTATTCATTTATTATTATTACGCGTTGCGAAATAAAAAATCAATAAGATATTATTTCGTAAGAATATATTATTATTTTTATTTGCCATTTTCATATTTATAACGCATAAAAGAATTTTTATGCAAATTTTTCATGATATATTTTAATTAGATAGATGGAAAGGTTTTTCTTTTTTTTAACACAAAAAAAAAATTAAGAAAAAATTATATAAATGTGATGTAGGATTAATTAGATTTAAAAATAATTGAATTAATAATAAGTTCCTTAAAATAGAGATCAATAATTTACGATCCTTTTTTCCATTGATTCGTCTACTTGTATCGTGATTATCATGTACGTTGTTATTACACCTATACACTGAAGAATACAACATCAATCTTCCTTTGATTCTTTTTTTTTTGTTTTTCATTTTAATTTATAATTTTAAATAATAATTTTACTAACCGAACATACGTATTTGCAGCTAAGATTATACAAACCAAACGCGGAATATGTGATACGGCATTGCATCATTTGCAAAGAAAATATTTCAACCTGTAATTGAAAGAATATTTATTTATGAAAATAATATATCGTAGAGTAATATTTAACAATACCTCTTTTCGTATTTCGGCGTCAGTATTTTGTCCGAAAAATGTTTGAACAATTTCTTTGACTCGTTCAGCCTAAAAGACAAACAATCCTAAATTATGATTATTCGTGTAAAATCAAATAAAATAATAATGATTTTAATTGATATACACATATGTATATACTTCTTGGGTAGTTTTGTCACTGATGTAATTAATGACAAATATCTTTAACGCGTATTGTAAAATAAATATAAGCGTAATAACGAATGGAAGAATTAATTCGTTAACGTTTTTTATTTCTTCCTGATATTTTTCATATAAACTATAAAGCATATATATTTGCAGCAAAGTGCATAATGCAATTTCTAGGGATATCTGTATACCATACGTATTGCTAATATTTTTCGACACATTGTATAATTGCAAATGAACCTGTCTACAAAAAAAGATTTAATTTTTAATCATTCATTCTAAAAATAATAATAATAATGATATAGTTTTTTGTTGTTGTTTTATAATTACCTTATTGTTCTTAACAAGTTTCTGCTTTGTTTTATTCTGTTACTCGTTAGTTGTAATTTTGATTGTTTTTGACGTAACGACGATATAGGTGTAAATAATTTTTCTGAATCAACTGGAAGATATTGTTCGATAAATAAAGAATCGATAGTTTCTTTATGTTCAATGTATTCCAAGGCAATAGAAGAAATCGATAGAACGTTGATATCGCTAAGAAGTTCGTTTACTCTTTTAAATTGAAATTTTATGCACCTGCGTGTTTAAATAAATTTAATTATTCAAATAAATTTTTAAAATAAATTCTTACACACACACACACAATACACACACAGTACATACCTTAAAATCGTTAAAAATTCTATCTCCATAGTAAATTTGATTGAGAAACTGTATAAAGTATGTACAAACATAGGAGTATTCTGTATTAATGATTGAAAAAACGGTTCATTTTGGAAAATCCATTGTAAGATATTTAGTATAAGAAAAAGTAAGAAATAAAGTATAGCAAAGATTAGGTCCCTTATTGTTATTTTGTAAATATCATTGAAAGATGATAACGAGCCCAACGCTTTAAGTGTTTCATCGATCTTGTGTAAACTTTTTACAAATACTTTCAATTTCTGTTAATTGTTAGTTACAAAGAGATTAATTTCTCATAGACAAATAATTGAAATATGTGTGAAACATAAAATATAATAATAAATTTGACATTCTTACCTTACTCTGATATAATCCCATAGAAACGATAATAAATAAAACTATATGATTTAAAATATATGTAATATTAGATAATGTTTCGTTTAAAGTAATAATCTTAGTTTTATAAAATTGTCCATAAAAGAAATACCATGTGATATTATACAAAATATATAATGACATCGAATAAATTAGACACAGTATTGGTCTTGAATGACCTCGAGGATATTCAAAAACACGTAATCCAATGATAATACTTAAAATATATATCGGTCGTAATACATCTTTTACATTTTTCAATTGTTCAGATTTTTCTTCATTTATTTTACATAGATTTAGAACTTTGTCTTTTTTTTTCAATCTGTCTAACAATTTTCTCATTTTTCTAACTTCTCGTATTTTTAATTGTTTATCACAGTAATAATTATTTCATCAATAAATCAATCAATTTCGACAGATTCGAAATATATTTTAATGTATACTCTGTTTGATTACTTTTATTTGTTTTTTTTTTTTTTTTTTATTTTGTAAAATGAAAACCGAAGAGTCCGATGAGAAACGTTCGAAGGATATTATGTTAATGAAGTTAATATATGTTATACTATGCGAATTATACTATGCGAGTTCTTTTAACGTGTGAACGCATTGAAGTTCATCGAGTCGATAATGCTATTATTTTTTCTTTTTTTTCTTCTTCTTCTTATTTCTTTTTCTTTATCTTTCGCACAAAAACCCTACCAAGTAAAATATTTGTCTTTCTCTATCTCGCGTTTGTACTTAGTATTAATGTAATAATTCATTACATATTTGTTTTCCATATTTCTATTCTTCCGTCCTCATTTTTCATAACATTAGACTCGTTTTATTTTCATTCGGTTTTATTCGTTTGATCAATGTAATTTTTCAATTTTTATAGTTTCTTCTATAACATGCGTATGTATTATTTATATAAAAAATAAATATATTTATAACGATCCACCCCCGATTAAATGTATATGAAGAAAAAGGAAGATAAAAGAAGGTTAAGATGAAAATAAAAAGTGGCAAACATTGGCTATGTTTCTATTTTAGGAATTTTCGAATTCTAGGAATGTTCGAATTCTAGGAATGTTCGAATTCTAGGAATGTTCGAATTCTAAGAAAGTCATTTATCAAGTATACATAGAAAAAGATTTTCAAAATAATTGGCAAGGCGATTAAAAGAGGGGATAGGTGATTTATAAAATACACACACTTTATTTTGATTTCGAACGAGATAAAGACAAGACGTAACGTGTTAATTATCCGTGTAAGAATTTATTTCCAAGTAATTGAATCATATATATTTCATTAAAATTCATTTGATTTACAGATTTAATTTATTGTATTAAAATATATATATCGTATATATTATAGGATATATTATATCTATAAATTTTCACCATAATCTCTTTTTATGATTTTAATAAGACGTTTGCTATGTCATTCCATTGAAATCATATTAATCAATATTGTATATAATCACATATTTAATACGTGCAATAAGTATTTCCTTTATTTCTTTTTTTATTTTAATTTTTGTTAATAATTTATTCATTTCCAATTGGATCACGAATCCAGCAACTACTTCCCCGTGGTAAAATCAGGTAACAGATATTTCTTATGGTGGGTCCATGGAAATTTGTTTGGTGCAACATAAATACTGTCGTGTTAATAATAATTACTGAAAAGTTTATTTTCTTTTTTGAAAATCTTACTTTTGAAAAATATCAGTGTCGCAAGAATATTAAAAATAACATTTGTATTGTTTTAAGTTTAAAAGATTACAATAGTGATTTATGATACTTCTTCTATCGAATCGGTTACTTGTATCATGATAACTATGTACGTTGTTACGGTACCTATACACTGTGGGAGTAAACAAAAAATTCATTTTAATATTTCATTTTCTTAATCTTATTTGTTTATTTTTTTTCTTTGTTTAGGCAATCTTTATTTAATAGAAACAATAATACTAACCGAACAAATGTGTTTGCAGTTAAGTTTAAAAAAACCATAAGCAGAATATTCGGTACGGTGTTGCATCATTTGCAATGTAAATATATCCACCTTTAAAAAGTACAAAATAATTTTAATTAAGTATTTATTATTTCTATTTTAATTAAGTAATTATAAACGAAATGTTATTTTTAAATACGTTTAAAATATTGTGAAAATAATTAACCTCATTTTTAATTTCCAAATTCGTATTTTGTCCGTAAAACGTGTGAAGAACTTCGTTAGTATTTTCAGCCTATAATAATAATAATAATAATAATAATAATAATAATTTAAAAATGATTTCTATATATAAAATAAAACAATGAATTATTATTAATCTTATTAAGTGTGTGGTACCTCTTCTGTTGTTTTTTCACAGGTATAATTAATAATATAAATCTTTACAGCTAATTGTATCATAGAGAAGAACGTTAGAATCAATTGAAAAAATTTTTTTTCAATGTCATACGATTGTCTCAAGTATTGTGTATAAAAATGATATAATACGAATATACCGAACAATATACACATTGAAATTTCTAATGATACCTGTATACCATACATCTTACTAAGTTCCTTCGACAATTTGAATAATTCCAGATGAACTTGTCTAAATAAAAAAACAAACACAAACAAAAGACAAATTTTTATTTTCATATTAATTGTACACGATTGTGCGATTATAATTTATCGATTAGACCAACCTGATCGTTCGTAACAATGTTCTACTTTTATTTTGTTTCGTAGTAACAATTTGCAATCGCGATTGAGTTCGATGCAATGACGACGGTAAAGTGATAAATAATTTTGTCGAATTAATAGGAAATAATCGTTTATTAATGAACAAATCGTTCATTTTCGTGCGTTCATCATTTAATTCCGAAGCTATGGAAGAAATTGGTAAAATTTCTACGTCACCGAGTAACTCGTTTGCCCTTTGAAAACCTGATTTGATGCATCTGCAATTATTTTCTTTCTTTCTTTTTTCTTATGTATAATATATTTATTATATAATATACATGTAATATATAAATATGAAATTTTTTTAGTACATGTAATATATACAAATAAATGAATATTTCGAATAATTACGTACCTGACAATAGTAATAAATTCGAGCACCATTAAATTTTCTATAGAAAAACTGTACGCGTATATAATTAATGATAAATAAAGTACGTAAGAATTGTATATTACGTTATTTGTCAGAATCATTCCTAAGAAAATAATTGTTGTGTATAAAATGAAATAAAATATAGCGATTGTTAAATCCCTTATTGTTGTTTTGTAAATGCTGTTAAAATATGACGTTGAGCCTAACGCTTTAAGCGTTTTGTCAATCTCGTTTATCCTTTTAACGAATAATTTCGATTCCTGTAAATTGTTTACTTCAAAAGAATTATATAATTTATTTTATCAAGAGAAAGAAAGATCAATAATATTATACCATAAACAGGGGGATATATTAAATAATTTATATAATAAATTTGTTCAATTAGTTGTAACCTTGTTTTATTATTTCAAGATGTTGTTAAGTATTAGGAATTATTCATTTGAACAAAATTCATTATAATTTATTATATGTTTTTATAATAATTATAAACCAATCAACGGATGTTTAGAAAAAATCAATTTACCAATTTATATTTGAATATTAAAAATATACAAAAATAAAATATATAAAATATGAAATATAAATGAATATATTCGTATATCATTTTCTAGAAAATGATGATCGAAATTTAATTAATTTAATTAATTTTAACATTAATTAATAAAAATGTGAATGTGACGATAAAAGTATTTGATTTGTAAACAATTATTCATACCTTACTTTGACGTAATCCAAGAAGTATTATTAAAAATATCACCATATGATCAGTTATATATATAATTCGTGATACAATTCCATCAAAGTTAAAAACTTTGTAGCGGTAAGAAAATATTTCATGATAAACCCAAGCAACATAATAAAGAAAACAAAGTAACATAGAATACAAAAAACTCAATAGCGGTCTCGATTGATCTCGTGGAAATTCGAAAACGCGTAATCCAAAAATAATACTCAAAATACGAATTGGTTTTAAAACGTCACTAACACTTTTCAATCTTTCATCATTTTTCCTTTTATTTCCCAAGATATTTCGAAATTGTTCTTTTATCGTTAAATTGTTTAGTAAATTTTTCATTGTTTTTTAATCTTTTTGTTTTAATTTTATTTAACAACACAATATTTAATTCATAATATTTAATTATACTTGATCTTGTATTACACTTATTATTATATTTAAACCGCGAACACAGAGTATTATAAGTCTAACATCATCGATGGATATTATAGCAATGAGTTAAAGTTTCATGAAAGTGGCGCTGTAAAACGCGAATAATTAATAATAAATAATCTAACAAATAATGTCTTGATCATTACTTTCATTTATTAAGATATTTTCTATATATTAGATTTATAGATAGAATTATTAAATCAAATAATATTATCATTGATAATTTGTTACATCACTAATGTTGAATTTAGCATTCGTATTGTTTAACAATATTTTAGGTTTATTTATAAGTTGAATAATAATAACGACATATGTTGTAATTGAACCGACAACCTAGAACAAAAAGTATAGATATACTATAATTCGTATAAAAAAAAAACAATCTAAGAGAAAATATACGAATCAATAATAATAATAATAATAATGACTTACATTGTATATATACGTATGATCCAAATCGAAAAATCCGCATGCGGTAAAATTGAAACTATTGTTAATTAGTTGAAACGCAAATTGACGAATCTAAAGGAAAAACAAAATGTTACATTTAATATTTATTCTAATATATTAATAATTCATTTGTTTACAATCATTTCTTACTTCATCGCGAAATTTCTTGCTTGTCGAAGGTTCGTATAATTCGAAAATAATGTCTCTAGCATTTGCGGCATATAAGGGGGGGGAGGGGGGAAAAATAAACAAAATGTAGAACAATTAATATCTACTTTTATATATAATGATAAAAAATATGAGAAAAGGTAAGATAATATAATTGTTAAAAAACACATACTTCTTTCTTCGTTGCCTCGCATACGATATTTATCGATAGGAGTCTCGAGAAATGATAAAAAATCCAAAAAAATAATACACAACATTCTTCAATCCAATCTTCATGTATCGTTAGATATAAAGCAATGTATAAATCGCACGCCAACATAATTATAATGATCATGGATGTTAACAGGAACAAGAAAATTTGTAACGAATAAATTTCGTTTATAATTTCGGCACATTTCATTAATTCCAAATGGATTTGTCTTTAATAGAAAAATATAATGAATAATCAAAATGAATAAATTCATTCGAAAATCCATTCAAAAATCCAAGATTAACGATAATTAAAATACATTTTTAGTACAAATTTCTACTAACTTAATTTTCTTCAATTTAATATAATTCTCATTAGTTTTGTACGTTCGATAAATAATAGATAACGAAGAATCATCCTCCCAATTATCTTCCATTCCAAATACTCTTTTATGTTGCGGTGAATTGACAGTTGTTGTAAGCATACTTTTCAATGCAACATTTAATTGGCCAAATTTAATCTTTATATATCTATATTTAAGATTATTTATTATTAAGAATAAATATTAATTTTGTTAGGAAATAAATCAAGTTTACTTACAGTATCCAGAAAATAAAAGTAAATTCGATAATTAGCGTTACAAAATAAGGATAATTATCAAAGTACAAAAATTGAGGTACTAAATATTTGTCATTAATAAACGTATTAATATATGGAATCCAAATAACATCGGTTAAGATTATGCCTGATAACATAATAATTAATATCACGCATGAAAAATAACGAAATTTTATGAGAGACGAATTATTATTTGTTACGTTTGTTATTTCATCGATTTTTCGTGCACAAGTTTCCAATTGTTCTACGAATAATTTCATTCGCTGTAAGAAATAAGAAAAATAAGGAAAAAAAGGAAAAAAATTACATAATGGAATTGGGTTAGAACGTTATAATCATTGTTAAAATATTGCATATGAAATTATACTACCTTACTTTTCATGATACCAACAAATATTGACGTTGCATAAATAATGGTGTTACCGATAAGTTGAAATTCGGATATAATTTGTGCAACTTTAGATTCGTTATCTTGAGCAAAAATAAATAATTGATTTCTAAAGGTAAAAAATAAAAATGTATAATACGCCGAATAACAAATGATATAAATAGAACCGAGTGTTCGAAATTTTTTATCAACGAAATATTCTAACAAGCCTGTATTAACGATCGAATTAATTATAATAATTGGCATAACCGAACGACGAAGTTCTTTCGAACGAAACATTGTCTTTTTTTCTTTTTTTTTTTTTTTTTCTTCTAAACTTTTTTCTATTTATTGATTTATTTATATATTTTGACACGCGGATTCTTAAAGAAACGATTAACCCGGTTAGAGTTTACGAGCAATACTAATTCTTACTATGAATTTTTATTTATCATTATATTCCGAGTTTAATCTCGTTTATAAATATTCAATAATATGACTGACGTATATTTTTGTTCATTATCTTAAAGTAGAAAATTATTATTATTATTATTATTATTATTATTTCTCTATTTATCCAACGTTTCTTTTAATCAATTATAATTTTCCTTTCTAAACCCAGCCACAGCCCCGTTTTATCTAATTTGTCTTATCTAATATGTCTTATCGATGAAGCATTCTATCGTTTGATGCATTTCAACATACATTATTATCAATAAGAAATTATTTATTAGAAAACGGATCGTTATATTGACGGTACGTTATATTGAGTTTTATTACAAATAGAGAAACGTTCATTTACTTTTTATTTATTTTATCTACATTTTATTTATATCTACCTACGTGTGCTACCATATTATTTATAAATATATTAGATTTCTTTTTTAAAAAATGACAAAAGCAAATAATAGTAACGTGAAAAAAACAACATTATATTATTATAATAATTGTGATACATATTTTATCGTATAAAAAGAACAAAAGAAAAAAAGAAAAAGTAATTTTATTATTCGTTATTTGTGACAATGGTTGAATTAGTATTCATAAAGTTAATAATAACTTTGGGTTGATCTCCGACTTGAATAAGAATCACGAGATACGTAGAAATCAAACCGATTACCTTAAACGATTATAAACAATATTATTATGTTATTATTAAAATATGAAAAATTGAAACAAAATCAATAATCATATGTTCACTTACATTGTATATATATGCATGATTTAAATCGAAAAATCCGGAAGCGGTAAACGTCAAAGGATTTTCGATTAGTTGAAAAGTAAAATCACGAATCTGAGAAAAATAATAATTATCAATTTAATATACAGGGTGTTACGAGCTTTTTTTTTTTTTCTTATTTTAACGTGTTTAAATCATTCCTATAATATTTCTCACTTATTCTTGATGTACTTGATATTAATATAGGAACACATAAATGAACTTTTTCCCTACTGAAGTAATTCAAACATATTACGAGACACCATTCTATATAAAAAATAAATGAAGAAAAATTTCTACTCACTTCGTCGCGAAATTTTGGGCTTGTCGATGGTTCGTATAATTCGAAAAGTATGTCACCCGTGGTTATGGTCTTTTGAGAAAATATAAGAAAAAACGAATTGTTATGCGAACACACTTCAATCTACATTTTTCATATTTAATTAATATAAAATAAATTATATATATATACGGGAGCAAAAAGAAAAATAATTAGTATAATATATAAATAACTGTATATAAAAATTATAATAATATAATTAATAAATAAAATTACCTCTTTCTTCGTTTTTTCGCATATTGTATTTAATGCAATAATTTTGGCGAAATGATAAAATCCCCAAAAGAATAACGAACAACTTCTTTTATCCAAATATTCATATCCGTATACAAATGCTATGGAATATATATTATACGTCAATGAAACAAGAAATATTATGGATGTTAACACGGAAAACAATATTTGTAATCCGTAAACGTCGTTTATAATTTTAGCACATTTAATTAATTCCAAATGTGTTTGTCTTTAATGAAAAAGAAAACAATGAAAATTATTATAAAATCTAATAATAATAATAATAATAATCATAATGAATATTTTTCAGAATAATATTAACCTTCGAATTAATACTAACCGAATTATTTTTAATTTTATATAATTTTCATTAGCTTTGTAGGTATAATAAATAGTAGATAACAACGAATCATCTTCCCAATTATCTTTCATTCGAAGTACTCTTTTATGTTGAGGAATATCATTAGTTGATGTCAACATGTTTTTCAATACGTTGTTCAATTGGCCAAATTTTATCTTTGTAAACCTAAATAAAATACATTCGTTTATAATTTCAATACGTATTGAGATTTAAGAAAATATAAAACAAATATATGTCAAACAAATATATGTCAAACAATTTTATACTTACCTGATCCAAAATATAAAAGAGAAATCAATAATCATAATTACTATAGAAGGATAATTATCCAAGTAAAAGAATAATAATAATATCAAATTGTAATTTATTAATGTTCTTATATAAGGAAACCACAAAATATTAGTAATTATTATTCCCGATATTATTAAAATTAGTATTACGATTGCTATAAATTGGTATCGTAAAAGTGCAGAATAATTTTTCGATATGTTCAATTGATCAATTTTTTCCGTACACCTTTCCAATTGTTCTATGAATAATTTCATTTGCTGCCAATAAGAAAATACAAATTATTTATTGATACGATTAAAATCATCACAGTTTTATAATAATAAAATATGTGCTCGCACAATTATGAAATTGATTGAAATTATAAAATTGTTTTCAAATAAATTACGAGCACTTGTGTATGCGTGCTTAATTATAAAAAAAAAAAAAAAAAGAAAAAAACAAAATTACAAATAATTTTGTAAATGATTGGAAAATGTTTACCTTCCTTCTTAGAAAACCAGCGAACAATGCCATACCGTATAATAATATATTAACGAAAAATTCATAAGCAAGAAGAAATTGTAACATTTTAATATTAGTTATTTTCGACACTTGCATTAACAGATCGTTAAGTGTTAAAAATATAGTACTGTAAATAATAGAACAACAAATGATATAAATCAAACCGATAGCATGAAATTTTGGATCGATGAAGTATTCCAATAAACCGGTACAAACAATCGAATTTGCGATAATCAATGGCATGATTGAACGACGAAATTGTTTCGATTGAAACATTTGGACAATTTGTTGTTAAATATTTTTGTCGAAAACCAACCAACAACGACAAAATTGTCTCACTTTTAAATTAAAAAATACAAAAATATTCGTTTATTTCATTTATCAAGCCTTCTCGTTGAAGATTTCAAACGATACTAAGTTCTACTATAAAACTCTTATACATTTTTATTATACTAAAATGATATTGTAATAGACATTATCTATGTAATAGACAGTATGATGGTTAAGTATCATTAACTTACGTTACAATTTCCTACTATTATTATTCTTATTTTTCTTTCTTTTATTATCATTTAGTTATATATATATATATATATATATTACAGAAATATTATTACAAACTTTTGTGTGAACATGTCAATGAATTTATTATTATTTATTAAAATAACTCGGCAAATATATATATATATATATATAATTTTACTAAAAAATCGAATTTTCACTAAAAACTTGCGGTGGTACGTTTCCAAATTGTATTAAAATAACGAGATAAGTTGTAACCGAGAAGATTACCTAAAAATCATTTTTTTTTATATATATATATAGACATTAATTATTTACTATTAGCATAATTAATTTAAAAACAATAATTTGTTGTTCTATACACACAAAATAATGATTTTTTTGAGCTTACGTTGCGTATCAGTGTATGATCGATATGAAAAAATCCATAGCATGTAAATGACAATGGATTTTGAATAAGTTGCAAAGTAAAATCGCTTATCTACAAATTATTTACAAATGTATTTTGTATTCATAAAAAAATAAACAATAATATTGAATAATTGAATAATTTATTACCTCTTGACGAAATTCATTGCTAATTGTTGGCATGTATAATTCGCAAATGATATCTCCGATATTTGACGCATGTGTTAAAAACAAATAAATACAATTATTTATAGAATTCTTAAAAACAAATATTATGTGTATAAAATAATATAATATAAATTATATATTATAATAAAAAAGAAAAAACATACCTCAGCAGAAGTTGTTGCACATAAATGACTTATTATAATGATTTTGGTCACATAGTAAAAAATCCAATAAGTTAAACTAATTGCTCCATTCATATTAATTCGATTTATTCCAGTAATTATGTTATTATACAAATTGTAAGACATAATAGTCATTAAAATGGTAGATGTTGATACCGATAATAAAATATGTAAGCCGTATGCATCATTAATATTTTTAGCACATTTCATTAATTCCATATGTAGCTTTCTACGATAACAAAATGAAAAGTATAGTTAATTAACATAATCTTTTACATTA